CACTATTTTGGACAGAGCTCAGTCAGATGATTAAATTCCAAATCGTGCTGCCAAGTCTTTGTTACGAAGTCCAAATTCTCTTGACTGAAGACATCACTGAGAAGAATGAAAGTAATAGAGCGAGCACTGGGGAGGGCTATCCTGGTGGCAAACGTGTGTCAGCAATCTCACAAACCGAATCGACAGGTGCCCGTGCAGATGTCATACCATCATAATCCACAGGTCACACAGGTTAAGGCTTGATGACCTGACAGAACCTCCCACAGACCACCAGGACACAGAAAAGCCACACAGATTTCTGAGTCTGACTACACCTTGCCTCCAAAGCTGTCTCAACTATGTTTCTTTGGACTGGGATTATCCCAGCCCCCAACCAGCAACAGATACAGGGGTTCAGCTTGGAGCATTCACCATGCACTTAGATCAGGTCAGTGGGCTGCAGCACTACACAAAAACTCTGGAAGAATGGCTTGATGTGCAAAGACTTCTATGCGAGAGTCAAAGCTGCCTGATTTTAGTGCCACAGACTTTTTAGAAACCAATGAGAGACACTCTTCTTCTTCTTCTTCTTCTTCTTCTGGTTGCTCCCTTTAGGGATCACCATGGCGGATCTGCCTACCTCACTAACAGCCTTCCTTCACTACATCCATAAACCTCCTCTGAGGTCTTCCTCTTTTCCTTCTGCCGCCTTTGTCCAATATATCCACCCTCTATTCTGTCTTGTTTCTAATGACTTTTATTTCTCTCATCTCCAGGGCATACCTCCACCTACTACCTACCACTCCTGACTTCCTCATCTGTAGTGCTCCTTCTCAGCATGAAGCTATACTGCTGCTCAATAGTCACCTCTCTTCTTAAAATAACGGCTCTTTCCTACACTGCATGCTCCTATCCATGCTCTAAATCCTTCCCTACTCAATCCTCCAATGGGTCCATAAGTTACAAACTGAACACCATGTTGTATTTGATAAGACCTGGAAGTGGAGACTGAGACCATAAATTCATTAGGAAAGTATTTACTGAGGTGAGAGATAAGTTGCGTAATAGTCTCATTTTCTCATAGACTTCCATACAATCGGACCCCAGATGTTGCCCCCTATAGGACATTAAGAAGATTGCAGGTTGAATGCACTTCAACAGTGGCTACATCAAAGACCTGCTGTTGGAGAATGTCGTTTTTAATTGATTACCTGAACAACAATATGTCTGCTGTGCAGTTAATTGTACTAGCAGACCATTCAAGAAGTCTGTGAATGAAATTCTTGGATTCTACTTGGACTCAGAACTAATGACCAGGTGTCTGTCTGCGTCTGTGTGATGCTCCTCAGTCTATGGATGCAGTCCAGAAATCAGTCTTCTATATACAATCAATTATTTTCGTTCTAAAACAAAGTAAATCAAATACTTTAAAATACTGCAGTGGGAAATGTAAGATCAAACGAGCGGCTCTGGATACTTCTTGGAGCGACTGCCATTAAGTCATCAGGAGGTTCAAACAGCTGAGTAACCACAGGTAGAAGCGATCACACTGACCATGAAAACTTTCCCTCCAACTTTGATAAACCATAATATTCTCATACAGAAGTGTGTTAGTGTTTTCACCTCATATATAAACACTGGCCCTGCTATGATGTCACAGGTGAGGCCTTCAGTCACATGACTGACCTCTGAGCTGGACCTGCAAGCTCAGATTGAACATAGCCGGGATCAGTGACAGAGGCATTAAATGTGGTCCCCCCTCGCCCCCAGCTGTGAATCTTTTCTTCCAGTTCTCCCAGTTTGTACTCACTGGCTGGTGTGAAGTTCCTCGGCTGGTCGCAGCGTTGTTGGTGGTGTGGCGACTGAGCGACAGTTTCCTGCATGCAGGGCAAAGTCTGCTCTGCTCCCTCCCTCCCTACACACACGCGCGCACACACACTGACACCTACACACACGCACAAGCCCGTTCAGCTATCTTAGTGAGGACATTGACATAATGCTTTCCCTAGCCCCTTACCCTAACCCTAACCATTAA